GAGGTCCATGGCACAAAACTGAGGTAAATATAATCAGTCTTCGAGAAACTTATATTCATACACACTCACCACAATGCGGGTGACGGCGGGGGCACATTTCGCGTGGAATTACCTTGAGCCTATGCGAGGCATTTGGTAGGACATTCGGAGGGATAGGTGAATTATTTAGACAAAGGCCTGTGGTGGGAAACTGGCAGAAAGACAACCGATCTTACCACGATGTAACACTAAGTATGACTTGAGTGTGTCCTATTCTTCTTCAGTCGGGTGAAGGGCCAGCTTCCGAGAATTCGATGCGTGAGGGGTGCACCCACCTTTCTCATTTCCAGCTATTCCCGTGGGTCTTGGCATCTCGACGATGATCTTGTTTGATTCAACTCGGCCAGATACGGAGGACGATCATTTTGACTGTGATTGGCGGAGTGATCCCATGTCCTGACCGGTGTTTTTGCCATCCCCAAGGTACTGTGGTCCTTGAAAGGTAATCAACGGCTGCCAGTCTATTCGATGTAGCTATAACATACCTCCAAAATTTCCTTGGGATGTAAGGACCCAAGGGGAGAGTGGAATAAATATATTTCAACGAGAAAGTGATTTGGCAGGTGGAAAGTCGCGTAAGTACTTACGTCCAGGAAATTTACGATATTTACAGTAAAGATCGTAAATCGGCCCCACGTGCAAGGGCCTAAGGCCTTCCTTACGCGGTAAATCCGTCGGCAAGCGCTACGCGGCTGATCATGATTTACCTGCCGTATTCGCCTGACTTTCCACCGATTACCGCAGTTATCACGCGTCTGTTGATGAACCAACGCGTTTTCAAAGCTCCTAGGGCACGGGGGATGTTATTAATTAGAACTTTAATCACATTAGATGCCTTGGTCAAGTCTGTAGTATGATATAACGTCCGTTAGCGAAAAGTAACCAAGTTCACACTCAGATGGAAAAACAGTAAGTAAGTCTCTTTAGCGTCCGGGGACTTGATGTGAGTGTTGATGTGAACCTTGAAGCTCGTGCAAGGTTCAATCACGGTTAGAATGACGGATGGGATGCGTTAAGCGCTTCACTTAGTTGACACTTAACACGTCCCATCCGTCATTCTAACCGTGATTGAACCTTGCACGAGCTTCAAGGTTCACATCAACACTCACATCAAGTCCCCGGACGCTAAAGAGACTTACTTACTGTTTTTCCATCTGAGTGTGAACTTGGTTACTTTTCGCTAACGGACGTTATATCATACTACAGACTTGACCAAGGCATCTAATGTGATTAAAGTTCTAATTAATAACATCCCCCGTGCCCTAGGAGCTTTGAAAACGCGTTGGTTCATCAACAGACGCGTGATAACTGCGGTAATCGGTGGAAAGTCAGGCGAATACGGCAGGTAAATCATGATCAGCCGCGTAGCGCTTGCCGACGGATTTACCGCGTAAGGAAGGCCTTAGGCCCTTGCACGTGGGGCCGATTTACGATCTTTACTGTAAATATCGTAAATTTCCTGGACGTAAGTACTTACGCGACTTTCCACCTGCCAAATCACTTTCTCGTTGAAATATATTTATTCCACTCTCCCCTTGGGTCCTTACATCCCAAGGAAATTTTGGAGGTATGTTATAGCTACATCGAATAGACTGGCAGCCGTTGATTACCTTTCAAGGACCACAGTACCTTGGGGATGGCAAAAACACCGGTCAGGACATGGGATCACTCCGCCAATCACAGTCAAAATGATCGTCCTCCGTATCTGGCCGAGTTGAATCAAACAAGATCATCGTCGAGATGCCAAGACCCACGGGAATAGCTGGAAATGAGAAAGGTGGGTGCACCCCTCACGCATCGAATTCTCGGAAGCTGGCCCTTCACCCGACTGAAGAAGAATAGGACACACTCAAGTCATACTTAGTGTTACATCGTGGTAAGATCGGTTGTCTTTCTGCCAGTTTCCCACCACAGGCCTTTGTCTAAATAATTCACCTATCCCTCCGAATGTCCTACCAAATGCCTCGCATAGGCTCAAGGTAATTCCACGCGAAATGTGCCCCCGCCGTCACCCGCATTGTGGTGAGTGTGTATGAATATAAGTTTCTCGAAGACTGATTATATTTACCTCAGTTTTGTGCCATGGACCTCCATCTAGCCAATGCACCGCACCCTTTGAGCCTCCTCCAGACACCTTGTGCACATCAGGGAATGAACGTGGGCGCAACGCGTCGACACCGATGCCCGTGTTCTGGTAAGTGTGGGAATATATCAATTTCTTGAAGACAAACTGTATGCCCATTTCTCCACCGGTTTCTCGTCTCAGGCCTTCAAGCAAGCGACCTGCCACACATCCTAAAAGGCCTTCAGATGGTTTGGGAACAGTCACAACCAAAATTCGTCGGAAAGTTACAGTGAGTTTAAATGTGTTGAACCATCATTGTGTTCAATCGGACATTCCGACTTGTCCAACTGAGCATTTCAAGTTTTTCACCAGTCTGTACGATTGTACATTCTCGGTTCCTCCGATCGGAGGTTTTCTTTTTGTCCGGTCGGACATCTTCGTTTTGTCCGGTTGAAGACATCCATTTTGTCCGATTGCACATTTCCAGCATTTTCTCTGGATGTTACTGCCTTAGCTTCTGCAACACAGAGATACAATACATTGAGGTTAATTACCCTTGATGAATGCATTGAGGAAGAAGTAACTGCTGCATGTCCCTCACCTCATAGCGTCAGATAAATCTCACTGAATTCATCGAGGTTGAGAGAGTAGATAATACAAGTGGGCTATTGACAGAGCGGAGGTTACCTAGAAGTCCTTGATTCCTAATTTAGGATTGTTCAACCCTTGCTGCAGGAAGGAGCATGTGGGAGGGAGAACTGACGCGTGCGTGCCGCGACGCGTTTGATGGCCGGCCGAGGCTACCCGATATTGACCGATCAACGATCTGATCAATGATCGACGGCATCTCGGCCCAGGCGATGATCGTGACGATCGGCGTAAATTTTTTGGAATAAGTAAAGTGCTTTTTAACGGGATCGAACCCGCGACCTGGCGGGTTCGGACAAAATACGGAATTGGGTTCACTACGAACTGAGCTAAGAGACCATATAGGTGAGTGGAAGCCACTCTGATAGGTGTGTATGTTCTGATCTCCAGGTCAGTTTACTTCTTTCAAGTAAGTCCTTGCCTGTCCCATCCACATCTCCTCTGCTAAAAGCATCTGGGCATGAATACTTCTCTAGCAAGCAACTCATCAAAATTTTCACAAAGGCATATATTTGCAGATGTAAAAATAGACCCCAAACAAAAAGCTTGAAAAGAGCTATAAGAGTTGTTTAGCACAAGTTTTCCTTCAACAGCTTAAGTGAAGCACAAAATATGGAATAATTTCCTGGATGTGACAATTTTGAAAGCCAGAACAATTCAGAACAAGGACTTTCCAAAAAAGGTGGTTGACACATAGACATTCATAGACCATCAGAGACCTTCATAAAAGGCTGTGTTTTATCATAGCATTTTGGTTTTCCTGATGCACGAGCTTGGTTCAATGCAACTCGCCAGCTAGCATGGTTTCGCCCTCATTAGACTACATATTCACAATCATGTCGCATCAATCAACTACCAAAGAAAGCCATAAACAGTGCAGGTACATTGAAAGACATCCATAGCTCCCCATAGACACTCATAGAGCCAGGGGTTGCCTCATAGACACCCATAGACCATCAAAGACCCCCATAAAAGGCCATGTTCTATCATAGCATTTTGGTTTTTCCTGATGTCTCAGGTTGAACCTGTGGCGGTCCAATGATGTTTGTGCTACAGTAACGGCCTACTAAATATCGAAAAGCGCATCTAGCACATGCCCAATATTGCCAAGGAATTCACGACGCCATTGGCGGACAGCTGGCGCCTGATCCTCCTTTTCGGCATTCGTGGCTGTATCCGACTGACGCAGGTGATGATCCTTTTCGTCTCTTTCTGCCGCCTCAGCCGTCTGCACCATTCTCCTCTCCAGCTCTCTCGCCTTTTACTCATTGTAGTCGGACACCAACTTTCTTGAATCGTCCTGCATCCGGGACATCGCCGCCTGCAACTTCTTCAACAACTCCTTCCTAATCTCTTCGTCCTTCTCCCGGATGGCCTCTGGAAAGAAAGTCATCAGTCCAACATCAGTCAATCATTAATTTCGTATCGGACGACCAACCTTTTATCTCTTGTTGCAAAACCGCCATTTCAACCTTGTATCGCTTTATCTGCTCGGCCAGCTCTCGGTTCAGTTCTTCGCCTGCGGAAGTTTGCGAGATCTCCATGCCCTGGTCGACGAGCTCCCGCTGGATGCGAAGCGCGCGGGGCTGGTTGCCGATCAAGTAACAGACGGTAGCCTGCGCAGACGCGATATTGTTGTCGTGGCGCAGGAGACAAGCACCTTTATCAAGAAGTGGCTTGAAAATCTGTTGGACAGCTCCGCTTCTCGGGCCTCGCCAACCCTGCAGGCTGCAGCCAACCTCACCCCACATATTGGTCACGATGCACACATTTTTCAATGTGCTGTCCCTGCAGAGCTGTCTGAACATCTTGAACTTCCTTGAATCCTTGTCGATATACCTCCCATCCGCACATCCGAAATACGGTGGAGGTAGATGATGCCGGTAAGCCTTTTCTCGCTCTCATGGCTGAAATATGAGAGTAAGCCGGATGCGCAGAGCGGTTCATGAGACATGTGTTGTGGCCAAAAACGACGCAATTTGTGTCAGGATCTCAGTATCGCTCCTCAAAGTGTCGTCGAAGCCCGGGGTATCGATGAGGGTGACAACGCGGTCTTACAGGCATTTTCTCAAATCTGGTTTTCTTTTAACGCTGACCCGCTTCCGGTCATTTTTCTCTCAATAAGGACCGTCTCAAAAGGGAAATTTTTACTTCCTGCCTATACAATCCTCTATGGTAGTTCAATAGTCAAGGTTCAACTCAGAAAGATAGTAGTGCATATAAATGACGCTGGGAGCTAGCTCATAGACACTTGATAGCATATGGTGTGCACTTGCTTCCGCAAATAGCTGTAATGACACACATGAAGTTGAACAGACAAAGAGGCCCCGGTTCGATTCCGGGTTGAGTGATACTTTGGTTGCAAGGTCTTTTTCTTCTGTTTCCACATGGTCCCTTTTACGATACCGCACTCACATGGGTTGGATTCAAGTTCGAGGAGCAGATTTTTATTAGTTGACTTGATTTTATTGATCACTCGAGTTGACTTTCAGATCTTCGTGGGTAGTTGATTTTGGTTTAGGTTCAGCTAGGTTCCACCTCATACACACTGCATATAAACGAGCTTTGAACTCAGGTTGCAACCACTCGGTGGCACATGGTGTAGACCTGCTTTACTTGAGTTGAGTCGATTCCCTTTCCACCTGGCCCTTTAGCCTTGGACTCGCTCAGAAGTAGTGCATATAAACAACCTTTGAACTAATGTTGCAACCACTCGATGGCACATGGTGTGCACCTGTCTCACCTTGACACTTTGTTGCCCCGGTTTATGCAGGAGGCCTCGGTTCGATTCCGGGTCGGGTGATACTCCAGCAAGTCTCGTGTTCTTTTTCTCCCTTTTCACACTTTCGCACTTTGACCAACACCAAGGACCGGATTGTATTGAGGTTCGAAGAGCAGCGGCAACAAATGTTCAACCAGTTTATTACTGAAGTTGATTTCTCCGTTGGTGCCTCACGAATAGGGCAGACTATGAACGACACGGGAACTTAGCTTGTAACCACTCCGTGGCACATGGTATGCACCTGTTTGACCTGAAAATTTCGCCGCAGTTTAAGCAGAAAGTCCCGGTCCGATTCCTGGTCGGGTGATATCAGGGCGATGTTGCTTTTTTTTTCTTTCCCTTTCAACACTTCTTTCTAGTCTCTCACGGCGGAACAGGTAGGATTGAACTCTGAGGAGCGGAGAGGTTCAACCAATTTTACCACTCGACTTGAGTTTTTTATTCAAGTTTTTCTCTCCTTGTTTCAATGTTCGATGTTCAAGCCGTAAACCCTGTATATAAACAATGCTGTTAGTAGCTTATAGACACTTGGTAGCACATGGTGTGCACCTGCTTGACCTACCGTGGTGATGCATAGTTTACGCAGAAGGCTCCGGTTCGATTCCGGATCGAGTGATACTCGGCTCGCGAACTTTTTTTTTTTGTTCCCTTTCCACACGGTCCCTTCTATGACACTGCATTCACATGGGTCTGGATTCAAGTTTGAGTAGCAGAGGGGCTCAACCAACTTTAATTTCGAAGTCAAGTTGATTTCCCTTTCCCTTCCCCTTAGGCTTGGAATTCACTCGGATGGTCATTATATTGGGCTTCACACTTAAGTTTCAGATACTCGGTAGCATGCGGTATGCATGTGTGTCATCTGGCCTAGGGTTCATGCAGGAGTTCCCGGTTCGATTCCGGGTCGAGTTATTCCTGGCTCGTGCGAGGCTTCTTTTTAGTATCACTATCTGAGTTGATTTCCTCTCTTCCTCTTGCTCAGAAGTGGTGCATACGAACGATGCTGGGAGTTAGCTTGCAACCACCCGGAAGCACAAGGTGTGCACCCGCTTGAGTTGATGCCGTTGAATCGTTCACGCGGGAGGGTCCCGGTTCGACTCCAGGTCGGGTGGTGAGCATCCGATACCATGTCTTTTTTTTGTTGACTATTCTTTTCGTACTAAATTTCGTGGACCGTGTTGGAGTTCAATAACTTGCATGTGTGTCGGTTTTGTGGTTGCTATAGCCGGGATTCAGAGAGTACATAGAAATATTGATTATTGGGATTGAGTACATGGAAGGAAGGAAGGACTAGCGATGAGCGATATCCCAACACAGTGCGATGTGGTTTTTATGTGAAAGAGGCAGTTTTCATTAGATTTGGCAGGATAGGTTATTAGTGGACGGGACTCAGATTCAATCACGAATCCTGAGTCGTGCAGGGCCACCGGAGAAGATATATCCAGAAATGTCCGTTCTTGTCGGCAAGCAGATGAAGGTATCGACGTGCAGGGACCGGAACAGCGCAGATTTGAGAGGCGGTCATGAGGGAGACAATATTTTGAGCGAGGGAGTGCCTGCAGAATGGTGCATTATAAGGGAGTCTCCGAAAGACAACCGTTTGAAACATAGTAAATGAGCGCCAGTGGTGATGTGTGGAAAATAAGACCAGGTTTTTTTCTTTCCCCTTCTAACGTAGGTCTCTTACCAAGGGATGGGGCTAGATTTGGGTTTGATCTCGAAGAGCGGAATTCTACTGTTTTGACTTGATTTTGTTGAGAACTCGGATTATTTCCTTCGGGGGTCGTTGATTTCCGCTTCGCCCCACAAACACTGCATATGCAGGAGGACTAAGCTCAGGTTGCAACCACTCGGTAGCACACGGTGTGCACCTGCTTGACTTTAGGGCATTTTCGGCCATGTTTATGCAGGAGGTACTGGTTCGATTCCGGTTTGAGTACTTGTTGAGTTATCTCCCAAAGACATTTTTTTTCTTTCCCGTTTATACACTTCCGCTTGGTGCCGCAATCTCACCAATGGATTGGATTAAGGTTGGAGGAATGGAGTAAGAATATCCCTCGAGTTCGGCTCGTGTTTAACTTTTCCGCCCTCAAATTAGCCTTGGACTCACTCAGAAAACAGTTCATATACCCTAGCTCAAATACCAGCCTGTAGACACTTGGTAGCACATGGTGTGCACCTGGTTGACTTGTAAAATATCGTGCGCACGAGTTAATGCAGGAGGTCCCGGTTCGAATCCGGGTCGGGGTTATCGGATATGTAGCATCCTTTTTGTGCAGAGGTTATGCTGGTTGGGTTCGGAGAGTGGACACTATATTATTAGGATTACGCGAAGACGGAGAAAGACAGGTGATTGAAATGCAGTGGTTTGAATTTGTTGCTTGCAGGTAAATCGTATCCCAAAATTCGGCAGAGTGGAGTGGAAGCACGACCAAACTTTAAAGTCGTTATTTCGGCAAGTAGATGAAGGGGTCGACTGCGAGATTCAAGGTGTCGACTGTGAGAATCCTTCAAGCCTTGAGGCTTCAGGACAGGGGTTTGGCATAGAAAAGGTGACAGACGGAAGACAGACAGAGGTCGCCCGGGAATAGTAGGCTTGCATTAACTGAATGAATGGCGATATGAAGGTACCGGAGCGGCGCAGAGGTTGTTAAGGAGAGATACGCGAATAGTTTGCTCGACATGAGAGACATTATCTCGAGTGAGCGAGGGCTAGCAGTGATAAATGGTGCATTATAAGGGATTTTCTGTTTGAGGCATAAGACTAAGGAAATGAGCGCTCGGATTAACTGGTGGTGACTCCGATTCCTGATGTTCCTTTCGCTCTACCATCATCATCCCGATTTTGAAGCTGGCCGTTAGCAAGCTTCTTCCACCCTGCGCCGCTAAATATGCCGCGCAGCAGTCTGGAGAGCCACTGCATCGAGTCCCTTCCATCGGAGGTGCCATGGATTGAAAGAAAAAAAGCATCCACTTTGTTCAGCGCGCATCCAGCTCAATTTTGGAGCTTTTGGCCCAATTTTTGTCCTGTGTATGCTCCCCGACCTCTTTATCATTTTACCCTGTGAACTGACGATGCTGGCTTTGGGAGTCCTGCTCGTCGCTCACCCCCCGCCTCTGCGCTTTCGTGGTTTGTCAGCGCCGCCTCTGTCGGCGTGCGCCACACGCCACTTACGTTCCGCGGCGTTGTCCGTGTTGAACGGTTTCTTTTTCCATGAAACAATATTTATGTTCATTCTAAGCACTGGCAGTTTGCAACAATGGGGTATCGAGGTATCACAGCGACTGAACTTGAATTGTCAAGGTCCGATGACGGCAGCAAAGTTCTTTCAATTTAAACCTCCCGATGACTTCGAAAATCCTGCTGCCAACCCAGAAGTGGGGTTAATTCCTCTTCGAACTGAATGGCTCCTTCACACCCTTGAACCAGCTCATTGACTCCTTGCCCACAATAATAAGTACCGGCAAAGTCTGCTGTATCAAGGCCTCACACGCACCGCGCCATGCTTGTTTCATGATCAATGGATACTTTGTATTCCGTAATGAGCTAGCTGTATTGGTGAACACGCGTGTGGTTACAGGAGTTGTTTAATCTGAATGACAGGCTCTTTCTACATCCAGGGGGACTTGGGTCCTTGGTTGATAATTTTACAAGCACGAAGACCGATCACTCCAGCAATTCCGAGGACCGTGAATATTAATCAAGAGGCTATCTCTTTTTCACCACCCTCTTATTTAACTGCTATCCGGGTGTTCACTTACTGCGTGAATATGTATATTATCCTCCAGGGATCCGAGTTGTTCCGGTCCGAGCTTGTTTCGAGGTTCTCATTTCCACTAACTGCTTCTCCATTCTCTTTTAGTTCTACCGCGGCAAGCCTTGGACTGTGACCGTGAGCTCGGCTACGAGGGTGTGGAGGAGTCCAGGGACCGTAGTGTACACTTAGTGCATGTACATTCAGTTACTCCCTGGGCCCGGCGTTCCTAAGCGGGACCGTGCCGTGTAATTCTACCTACCTACCTACCGAGGCCAGGATTGGGAAACACCAATTCGAGTCTTCGGAAGCGGGCAGCGGGGACGAACAAGCCGGACGACGCTAGTGCATCAAGGAGTAGGGCGTAGCTATCCCCGGTGAGGCCAGAGCGGAGCTCGTCGTGGTCGTTGGTGGGCGTTGAGGAGGGGAAGGTCCGGCGAATATTTAGTTGCCGACCAATCTTCACCACAATTCGATGCCTTCCCCAGAAAATACATACTCAAGCACAGACACAGCAGACAGGCGCGGTTAGAAATGCGCTTAACAGAGAAGGATAAAGCGAGGATGTGCAAGGCCTCATACACGTGTGGAAGCAAGGGAGCTATACCGAAGTCTCATCCGATGGCTCCGCCGCAACCAATTGCCGGTGCATCTATGCGAGCGCAGGTACATGCGGGAACTGCTAGCAAGAGCAGGGATAAAGATGGCCCCAAGAATAGCGTTGGCGGGACAACTTGAAGGACGACGCGCCTGGCATCGGCATCCGCAAAACGCCATCCGCAAACGCCATCTCCATCCCAACCTCGTCGCCCAGATG